GACCCTACCAGGGGCATAAAGCCCCAGACAGCATAGCTCCTAGGATCATTGGGACACTCAAACCCCTCCACCACGATAAGGTAGCAGCCCAAGGAGAGGCAGGTCACATTCAAAATCTTATGTGAACGTTCACACAAAAAGATCTGATTTTTAAAAAAAAATCATAATTGACCTTTAAGACCTGCAGTGTGAACGTAGCCTTAGTTGTTAAACGGTTTTAATTTTATTGAGATGTTTAGTTGCTGATCCACTGATGTTGTGTTTCTCTCAGGATGAGGTGGACAGTCAAAACCCAGTGTTAAGAGACAACCCTCAGCTCCTCGAAGAAGTGAAGGGCTGGCTGAAAGACCAGAAAGTGCAGGAGATTTTTATGCAAGGTAAACATTTATTGGTTTAAAGTCAGTGTGAAATCCTTTCTAAGCGTTAATTACATATAAATTGTTTAGTCTAACTGACTGTCATTTTACATAACCATTTGGACTGATCTTTCAAAATTAGTGTGAAGAATTTGAACAGCTGAAACATAAATTTTGTGTTTCCTTCAGGACCCTACTCTCTAAATGGCTACCGAGTGCGTGTGTACAGACAAGACTCAGCCACCCAGTGGTTCACTGGAATCATTACACACCACGACCTCTTCAGTAGAAACATGGTTGTTATGAATGATCAGGTACGTATGGGAATGTTTGTAAAGGTTTTATATACTCACTGACAAAACAAGTTTCAACCAAAAGGAATGGTAAGTAATCTGGTCCACATGGAGAAGGTTGATGGCAGTGTAAATAACTTCATGTACAAGAAGCTGTCATGTCTAGAACCATCACTGAAGAACATAAACGGACATTATTAGACCTCATTACCAGCACTTCATGGAGTTTAATGGGGGTCGTATTGTGGGTTTGCAGGAGGCCAGGCTGTTTCGTGAAAATACCTAATATGTGGGGTGTTTGAATGCTACAGTGGTCTAATGTTGGAATGGAACCAGTGGGTGAAGGAGGTCACCTCCTCATTCTGAAGGTTCTGGTCATACAAGACAAACCAAATCAAAGAAGATTGTTCTATTGAATATGTAAAGCATTATACAACCCCATGAGATCTAATAATAATAATAATAATAATAATAATAATAATAATAATAATAATAAAAATAATAATAATAATAATGCATTTTATTTATAAAGCGCCTTTCAGGACACCCAAGTACAATAGAAAAAAGTAAAATGAAGGAAAAAAACTGTAGATACATATAATGATAAGGGTAGTGTGGGAGAAACAGAAATGTGGAGTACAGAACAGTCATAATAAAATACACTAATGTAGACAAATTGAACAATGGGGTTGTGGGGGAGAAACATCGAAGTGAGGACAACAAAAACAGACGTATATTAAAGATCGGAGTTAACAGTTGTAGGCTAATTCTGAAAAGATGTGTCTTCAGGTGGTATTGTGTAATCCATGGGGTAGTGAGTTCCAGAGCTGCAGAGCAGAGCGGATGAAAGCTCTGCTTCCCATGGTGCTGAGGCGGGCAGGGGTACTGAGAGTTGGAGGGAGGAGGCAGATCTTAGAGAGCGGGAGGGTGTGGAGATGTTCAGGAGGTCAGACAGGTAAGGAGGGGAAAGGTTTTGGATAGCTTTGAAGGTGTGTAGGAGAATTTTAAAGATGATGTGGGGTTTAACTGGGAGCCAGTGGAGCTGTTGTAGGACTGGAGTGATGTGTGCAGAGGATGAGGTTTGGGTGATTACACAGGCAGCTGAGTTCTGAACCATCTGTAGTTTGTGAAGGGATTTATTGGGGAGGCCAAACAGTAGGGAGTTGCAGTAGTCAATCCTGGATGTTACCAGGCTGTGTACAAGGATGGCAGTGGAGCAGGGAGTGAGTGAATGACAGAGACGGTTAATGTTGCAGAGATGAAAATAGGCAGATTCGAGTCACATTGTTAATGTGGGATGTGAAAGAGAGTGTAGGTTCTTGACCTGAGGCGAGGGGGAGAGAACGGAGTTGTTAAGAGTAAAGAGAAGATGCTGGGATTTGGAAATGGTGTTTTTTTTTTTTTGTCCCAACAAGGAGGAGTTCAGTTGTGTTATGGTTTAGTTGGAGGAAATTGTTAGAGAACCAGTTATTGAGCTCACTGAGGCAGTCGGAGAGTGGAGGATGAGAAGGTGGAGTTTGGTTTTGTTTAAATGTAGAGTTGAGTGTCGTCGACATAAGAGTGGAAATGGATACCAAATTTACAGAAGATGTGGCCAAGCGGGAGCAGATAGGTTATGAAAAGTAGAGGCCCGAGTACAGAACCTTGGGGAACTCCGGTGGAGATGGGTGAAGACTGGGAGCAGAGCTTTATGAACTGAGTGCGGTCAGAAAGACAGGATTTAAGATAGGATCTGGCTCTGCCATCCAGACATCAGGGGCCTCATGTACAAAGACTTGTGTGGATTTCTTACTGAAACATGATCAAATCCAGAAAATGGCATCCAGATGTAACAAATTGTGCATACGCCGGAATCCACGCACATTTCTTTTGGACATCACAATCAACTGGGAACTGAGCGCCCGTGAGACACCTCCCTGACACGCCTTCATTAACATATGTTAAACAGATGCACATTATTCCCTGCACGTGTGATGAACATGTTCGAGTGACCTCTGCACAATCAGAAATGATTTCTAGATTCAGGAAAATAATGAATTAAATATAATGAGAGTGAGAAAAATTCTTAGGTATAGGAGTAAAATTCACGCGCAAAGGATGAGTGATTGTGTGTCTGTCTGTCTGTGTGTGTCTGTCTGTCTGTGTGTGTGTGTCTGCGCGTGAAGCTGCTGTGGTGCGCACCTGGTGCAGCTGTTCATTCTGGAAATCTTAACTTTGCTCACGGGTTTATTACCATAACTACTGTAAACACAGAGGAACTTAGATGTTTCGTAGAACATGGATGTTTGTTTATTTAATAGTTGATATGAAGGAACGAGTCTCTGCGTCTCAGTGGAGAGTTTTCATGAGGTGACGTGATGCTGGTGATTTAAATTTTAGAATCATATGGATGAGGCTGTTCCATTTGACATGACTCAGCTTTGGGTGGACTGGACTGGCACAGACCCGATCGGTCTGTCAGCTTCCTCTGGAAAGCCTCTGTGGAGCGCTGCTGCTGCACGTGCACGCACAGTTCACGGCTCTTCACTGTGTTGTGCTCCCAGAGCGCCGCAGCTTCAAGAAGATGCAAAATGATTATTCTTAGTAGCTGAAAACAGCTGATGAGCCAGTCGTCCTCATGGATCATAAAATCCTCTCTGTGTATAAATATTCGCTCTGTGTGTTACACTATTTATTATATCCTCCAGTAAGGCTGAATCTGTTCCTGTTGTGTTGTATCATAGTCAGCTATGAATCTTGGTTCTGCATTTCCATGAGTCTACCTACCATCAGAGGTACATATGGCAGTAGAGAAGTGAGAGGATCAATCCTGCCAGTACTGTGTGACTCCTGGCATCATGGTGTGGAACCCACAGAGTCAGACTTCAGGTCACCTCTTGTGCTTCAGGGAATCTTGACACAATGTTACACAGCATCATCCTCTGTCTGCCCTCCTGAGACAGCACCCTGGTAAAGCCTTTAAACAAGACAACACTAGTTTACATGTGATGTGTGTGTGTGTGTCATGGACTGCCTGCATCATGCTGACATCCTCTGACCTCTCCACAATTCAACATGTGTTGGATCAACTCCAGCCCAGCAACAGCTGGATGATTTCAGTCTGCACCAAATCTCTTCATGTTTCCAAACTTGAGTTGGACCACATTCTGTTGACACAAGACCAACAGTGTGCCACAACTGCAAACTCTTTGTTATCCATTTATTCTGATGTTGTAAACTTTGTGATGCAATCATCATTGATAACTCAGTAAATGCACTTTCATTACATTTATGTCACTCAGTCTGAGTGCGTCACTGTTTTGTCATTGAGTGTGTAAAGAAATCCTGTGACCTTTTTTTTTAGAAAAGGATAAGTACAAATGTACTTAGAAACCAGAATGATTAGATCAGAGTTAAATAAATGATCTTTCTGGATGAATTCCCTGATTAAAATGTGAACAGAGTAAAATGTTGATAATTATGTGTATTCAGGTACTAGAACCTCAGAATGTGGATCCATCCATGATCCAAATGACCTTTCTTGATGACGTTGTCCACTCACTGCTGAAAGGAGAAAACATTGGCATCACATCCAGACGAAGGTCACGATCCAGCCAGAACAACAACTCTTCCCATGTGAGTACAGAGACACTTCAACCTAACCTGTGTGTCCCAAAAGAACAATTTGCACATTTCATAAAACCCACGTTTTATTCACAATGAAACACAATGCAACATCAAATTTATAAACTAATTAATTGTGCCATGTTTAGCAGGGTGCATTTATGTCCCCACTTTAAGAATGCTCCATTGCAGTAAAGAAAAATGGGAATTTTGAGGTGATTTGGTTAATGTTTAGGTGGACCACAGTGAGGTAATAATTCTCTGCAAATTCAGGTTTTCACTTTTCATGATTATTGACAGACTAGTGGCATTTATGGTCCGCAGATGAAATAAAAAAAAGTGTAGTCTGCTTTACAGTGCAAGCAACATTGAAGGGTTGATATTTTCTGAACTTTGTCACACTTGTGTCAGTGGTGGTTCAAATAAGGGATGCTCTGACTAGAGATGTGTATGGCAGTACAGAAGTGAGTGGAATTCAATACTGTTTGATGTAAAGACCGAATTCTGTCAGTACTACCGAGTATCTATTCACGTAACATCAAACGGTACCATGTTTCGGTACCTAAACGCATCATTGCGACTGGTTTGGTGTAAGAGCGGTGAGTTTTCCATGCTTGTCCTGAATGCAGCATCACAAGAGCGTAATGACGTCAGCAGCCACTGGTTCAGACAGTACACAGAGGCAGAGCTCGGTCTGAACGTAGCTTGAAAGCCTCGCAGCTCCTGGAGTAAAATTCGCCAAACAGATCACCTCTGAATGATCTGGTGGATTAATTATCTTGTGAGCACGACATTCGCTTGCTCAAAGAAAAAAAAAATACCGCCACTTTGTTTATTTCATCCACCATTAAACAGAGAGCAGCAGAGGAAAACAACAGAGGAGCTTCCTGACAGTCTGAACACGTCTGACCTAAAGAGCACAAGCAGCCAACAAGTGTTGGACGTGTTCTGGATGTTCAAAACGGACCTTAAATACCTTTGATTTATTTTAACTGCATCCTCTTTTCTTTATTTCATTTAAACTTATTTACCTTCATGGACCTCCATCACACATGTTTCTAGTGGGGAAATGACATCAATAGAAACACGTGGAGCTGGATTTTAATTTGTGTAATAAGACAAAACAGTTGTTGTTTTCAACAGTTTTCACCTTAAAGAAATAAGTTACACAACTCATGTTACAATACAAAGAGTTGATGTTGTCTTGATATTTGTTAATTTTATATATTGAGAAATATGTTAAATAAAAAAATTAAAGTTTATTATTGAAAAAACAACACACAAAAAGTACCGAAAATTGGTACCGTTAAGTACCGGTACCGATTCCCAGGTACTGGATATTGGTATCGTATCGATTCAGACGTCAAAGGTACCCATCCCTAGCTCTGACCAGGTTTTATGCTGCCGATGACTAATACAGATCACATAGATTGGCTGGATTGATTTCGATATGAGTGCTGCTGGCTATGTGATTTGGAAAAAATAAATCACCTTAATTTAGACAAAAACATGTTTTTACTTAAAGAGAAAAAATACAAATAACTTTCAGGCAAAATTTAGCAACTACTCAGTCAAAAGGATAACTGAAAAACACTTAAATTTACCTGCTATCAGTAACACTTTGTGACAACCCGCTGTTTGCTATCAGCTGGCTGCACTGTTTTCCTCTCTCCCTCGGCCCCTCCCGTCCTGATGCACTCTTAGACACGCCCTGTAATACACCGTTCTTCCAATGGACTCACCTGATTGGTTGCCTGGTTCAGGGTGTTGCTGTACCACGGGGGTAAAAATGGCAGTCTTTCTCCAGACCCGGTGATAGAAGCAGCACCGCAGACATTACAGCAGTGATTGACGCTACTCATAGGAATTAAAAAAATAAAGAAAGAAAGAAAATAAGACCGAGGCTGGTTAAAACCCTCGAGTACTTATATTTACGTTCTTTCGTCACGCTGAGTGGTGATCCTGTACAAAAGAGTGAGAGAAGACAAAACGCGTCTCCCACACTCCTACGTGGCAAAGCGGAAGTCCTGAGGCGGTGACGTCATCCGGAAAGAAAAAAAAGGGTACGGGAGTTTTTGCCTACCCCTATTATTTGGACTTTGAAAAGAAAAGAAAAAAACAAACAAACGGACACTTATTGTTTTTTGTTATTGTTTGATTGTGGGGTTTTATTTATTGTTTATTCATGGACATTTTGAAAACACAGGACTGAAAAAAAGAAGAACATGTAAATAATTATTTTCTTGTTTATTGAATATTTTTTGTGTGTGTATATATATATAAAAGAAAAAACAATGTATTTTTTGTCATTCATTTTAAGGGTCTACACCATGAAGTGTATGGTCCTGATGTGTCAGGTTTCCTAGAATACAAGGTAAAACTAATATCCTACTTGTCAGGAGGGATACCTGGCTGGCACCCCTTTATATAAAAAAACAAACAAACAAACAACAAATTAAAACCTTGTAAACGTCACAA